CCAATTATTTTTTCGACATTTTTCCTTTCGATATTTTTCTTTCGACATTTTCTTTTTCGTTCTTTTTCTCTTCGCTATTTTTCTTTTCTGCTTTTTCTTTTCTGTATTTTTCCTTTCTATTTTTTTCCTTCGACATTTCATCATTCGACATTTTTCCTTTCTGCCTTTTTCCACCATACCATAATTTCAAGTTCTTAATTAAGCATCACTAATGAAATTCAAGCAAGGGGTGGTAAAAAAAGATTACTAATAAAAATTTGAGCAGAAGGCAACAGAATAAATAAATAAGTAAAAGTCTATGTTTATGTTGTGCGTGTTAAATAGAAAAATATATATTGATTTCAATGATAGATCGTTGAATCAGTATAAGTAAAGAAAGATCCCGACAAGATTATTGGTAATAGTAACTGAATATACATATTCATTTTTTTTTTTTTGTTTTATTATTTCTTACTAATGTTAGTATATAAATGCATCAGTATCTCGATTAGTTTGTATCCATTCGATGCCTGATAGCATGCTGTAATGTTTATTAGTTAGATACTATGTTCAAGTTCAAAAACGAATACGCGTTATATTTATCAAAAGAATTATGCCTAGCGCGTCTTAAAAATTACAAGTTCAATAGAGATAAATATTATTGTAAGCCTACATCGAGCAAATTCTACAAATTACAGTTGGTCAGAAATAAAAGTGTAGGTATATTTGTTTTGTTAAAACTAATATAGGTAGATTTTTAGAGATTTAATAGATGGAAATTTCAATTTTTCGATTCATTCATTTAAATTAAAAAAGAGTAAAAAACCTGTTTTTGAAGTTCTTAGAAGAAAAATTCAATAATTTGAAAGTTAAAAGTTTAAGACTGTGAATTGTTTTTCGTTATTATTTTAAAAATTGAAATGAACGAAAAAACCAAATTGAATTTATTAATTTTCAAATTTTAACTTTATGTTCACAAATGAGAAGATACCATTACTACAATACGAAAATAATATAATTCAAGCTTAGTGATACTATTTAAGAATAGAAAAATTCTCTGGATACTAATGATGAAAAAAGTCCTCTGAAGAAAATGCAATTTCAAAACACTTACATTTACTTTCTCTATTCGTGCGAAATCTTGTATGCTGACGAACAGAATAACACTAAGATACTCACGTTGTTCTATGCTAGGGATAAAAACATTACGTTACTTACATTTACATCATTATAAAAGTTTGGCTTGTGTGCCTTCATCCATGTCCATGAAATAACTAATGATCAAATATTATTGATATATCTTGTTTTTTTCATTAAAGTATCACCGTCGTTTTGCTTGTTCTATCATTCATCGTTTGAGCAGCTTGAAGGATGCAAAACAGTGTGAATCGAATCCAGGAAAAATATGCACTATAACACGACTACTTAGTTTTTTGTCATCGTCGACAGTATCAACCACATATTAGCATTTCACAAGCGATACTTTACCGCTCAATACTATGATCCTGGCTGAATCAAGCCTCAAATGTCCCTTGTACATATGGGAGAAGATATTGGTTTTTGACATTACTTCTAGAAGCGGGATGGGGTGAGAATGTGTGAGTGTGGGTGTATGAGTTCTCTTTACTGACACCCACACCCTTCACCTAAAACTTTCTTTTTCGTTAATCAATGAAAGAGTAAAACAAATACATGATCACCTATCAGCTGTGGGCCGCTAGCATGGAGCTTACCTATCATCACCTCTTTCTCCTGAGTAGATGCAGCAAAAGTATTGCGTCAAATATCATACGAATGGTTATTAAATATAACGACAAAGTCGAAGATACCATGTTTTTTGTTGGCTAGGTCATTATAGAAGCATGTGATACACTTCGATCAAGATTCATTTTGAACAAGCAGTTCACCAACACCATCACAACAAGCTAAAGCAATAAAAAATTCAATAATGTTGAGCAGACAACAACAAATAGAGCAGAATACAATGATTTCCAATTACATACAACACGACTCTTCGAATGCCAAAGACAAAACAATAGACTGATGAATGCCCTATCGATCGAATAAATTTTATCGTCATATTGAAACAGTACACTGACGTTTTCTTTGAAAATGATGTCAAGCTAAAGTGCTTGTCTCATTCTATGAAATTTCATAAGTCACATTCATAATCCGTATAGATATAAGATAATGATAGTGAACAATCGGGTTACTTCGATTTGACGATAGATTTTTGTAGGCTATGTAATAAAAAATTAAAAAAAGAAATGTATAGAATAAAGGCTCATGGAAAAATTTAAGATGCAAGATGAAACAAGTATAAACAAAGAAAAAACGGAAAATACTTTCAGTGTTTTGCAAAAAAAACTGCTATTTTTAAAGCATAAAATGATGGAAATCATCGAAAATTTCAATGCCAAAGAAAAAAAATCATATTGTTTTTAGAAGAACGAAACTCAGACTGTTTTGTGATGCATTTATTTTAACTTTTATTTTTTTGATGAGGATTGACTTTTGTTTTCACGGAGAGCAGACTTTAATCTATATTAAGTCAGAGCTCTGCGAGGCAGTCGCAAGTCTCGAAAAATCCCATTAGTTTCGTCCTATGGGACATTCAAGATCAAAACATTTTAAAGAAAAACGGGATGTGATTAACAGGATTCTGTTTCTCTTGTTAGCTTGATTTTTAATAAGAAATAACTAGTTAATCTACAAAAATAAAACTAATCAACAAAATATTGCGTTATCTTTTTTATTAATATTAAATTATATGTTTAACAATAACAAACAATTAAAACAATTTCCACCACGTAAATAAATAATTATAAATTTGTTTAAATATCGATGGATAATTCTTATCCCAACAATTTACATTTGTATTATAAAATTGACTAATACGTATTAAATTCGTTTTAGCTGTTGTCCAATTAAAATTTGGTAAACGCATATTTGTTATATTAAATATTTTTCCTATAATATTCATTAAATATAAAATTTGTTGATTTTTTTCTTTGATAGAATATAAATATTGATAATGACCAAGAAAACAAAGTGTTGAATGCATATCAATCATTGATATTGGTCTATAACGACCTGAAATATCATATAATTGTGTCCATTGAAGATATTTTGAATAATCAGAATAATTATTATTTAAACGATGAAGTTCTTTA